CAGCAGGTAATATCCACCCCTTCTCCAACGCTTTTGAGAAATCTATATGTTTATTTTCGACTTTATCGAATATTTTACCTTCAACTGGATCGACTAATTTGGTTGCTATGGACAATATAAGTGGCAAGAAGGCACCGGTTTCAGAATCTTTAACAACGGTGCTACTTGGATCGACCAAATTTTCTGATAAAGCTTCATCGAGTGTAAGCTTTTTCCTATCTATAATGTTGGTAGTGACAAACGGATCGTTAAAGTGACCTGTGGTCGGGTTATAAATGCCGTAAGTAATACATTCGATCAAACTGAAACTTCTATTAGTAGTTATAAGTAAGCCGGTATCTAGAGCAGTTTGTAGTGGGAATAGTTTTGAGGTACTAGTATCTAGAACACTTCCCTTTTCAGCTTCAATGAGGCCCTTTCTAAAACCTTCTGGAAGTTTGATTAATTTCTTTTTATTTGAGTCTTTAATAAGAGCGGTGTCAGGGTCAATAAAACCTAGACTAATAGAGTCCTTCAATGTCAGAACTTCATTGGATTGTGGATCAGTAAATTTACCGGTATTCACGTCTAAAAGGTTAGTTTCAATAGCTTTAATAAACGAAAGAGGTTCTTGTAAATATATAACAATGGTTTTATCATACATACAACACAAAGATCTAACTTTTCCAGTAGCTGGATCAAAAACTACAATTTTGTTAACGTTAAGTTGCTTTTCATCGATTGCCTCTCCAACAGGTTTAAATTTACCTGTTTGTAAGTCCTTTATTACAGCCACACTTGGATCTACAAGTTCAAACTTAAGGGCGTCTTCTAGAGAACATTCCCTAGTTTGTTTTGGAGTTGCTTGAGTCTCTGTTATTGATTTTTGTGAAAACTCCTCTACCAAAGGTCTTTCCAACGTTATCAATAAACCTTTTTTAAAGGCTTCGTCCAAGTTGTAAGTCTTCTTAGATTTAGAATCAAGAACTCTGCCCTTTTCAACATCTATGTTATGATCTTGAATTCCCGCTATTAAAGATTTGACTCTATTGTTTGCTAAATCTCGTAGACCTGTAGTAGTTGGATCAATAAAACCTATAGATACAGCTTGGGAAAGATCGTAATATTCACCGTTAACTGGATCAGCGAATTTTCCAGATTCTGGTCTGTATAAAAAGTTTTTAATAGCTTCTTCCAAACTCAGTGGCGTATGAGCAGTAACTATCAGCCCCTTATTCTTCGCGTCTACTAAATCAATGGTATTTCCGTGTGGGAAAATATACGTAGCTAACTCATCATTAATAATATTGCTTTCGATGGCTTCTGGTAGCTGAACATATTTGTTTAATTTACTGTTTTTAATAAGTGAAGTTACAGGATTAATAAGCTCATTTTCACAAGCTTCCTTTAAGTTATATTTGCGACCTGTAGCCGGATGAACAAAGACTTTTTCTTCTGGAATATAGAGCTCCATTTCCAAAGCTTCATACAAACCAAAATTGGCCGTTTCAATATCTATTATTAAACCAGAATTCAAGGCTTCAGACAGTTTGATAGGTTTCCCAGTACGGGGTTCTCTGAATGTACCATTGCGCTTATCAATTATACCCAACCGACACGTATCTGTAAGGTTAAGCAGTTTGCCAGAATTTTTGTCTAAATGACACAAAAGCAATGGATTAATGTTGAAGTTGCGAATCGCTTCATGTAAAGTAATTCGTCTATCCGTGTTAGGATCCAATATTTTACCTGTGTTTTCATCATAAAGACCTTGATGGATAGCCCTTTGCAAGGACACGGCAGCCTTATTATCAACCAAAATCCCTAAGGAGAAAGCTTTTTGTAATGTTACTTCGTAAGTTTCACCCTTAGAAAAGTCTTTTACCATACCTGTGGTTCCATCTACGTAGTTGTTATGTATAGCGTCAATAAGAGGAATCTTTCTCCAAATTCCTATACGAGTATCTTTAACACTAACAGATTCAGCGTCTATTAAATTGATTTCAATGGCTTCTATTAAAGGTATATATTGCCCAGTTTGGGGATCTAGGAATAATTGTGACTCTTCGTCACAAATTCCTTTAGCAATGGCTTCACTCAATGGTACTGGTGGTCGTACCTCTACCAACAAACCTCTTTCGAACGCCTCGCTAAAATCAACAGGTTCATTGTAACTCATCAAAATACCTTCATTGGTATCAATGACGCCGTCGATCATGGCTTGCTCAAATGTAACGATTTCTTCGTCGATTGTTACCAATGTACTAGATATATCTACATAGCCTCTATTAATGGCGCTAGAAGCCTTCAGTCTTTCTTTATTTTTAGGATTGATGAACTTACCAGTATTCGGATCATAGAAACCTTTGAAGACAGCTTCGGGAAGAGTTATTTGACTCTTGTAAGGTACTATTAAACCACTATCGTAAGCTTCATAAAGATTTGCATCAGTGTTAGTTAAAGGATTCAGTGCTGTACCCTTTACAGGATCTATGATTTTTAAGTTAATAGCATCATTTAGAGTAATAATATCTCCAGATCTAGGTTCTTTAATCGTTAGAACATTAGGGTTAACAATACCTCCGTCTATAGCTTCGACAAGTGTAACCTTTGCGTTGTTTATAGTGAACTGTCCGGTCTTGGGGTCATAAACTTTTTGGGCTAAAGTTTCTTGAAGAGACCATGGCAAAACCGTACTTAATATGTAGCCTTTTAGGTAAGCTTGATCTAGAGGTAAGAGAGGGCTTGTAAGGATACCTTTCTCGACATCTAGTAGATTTGACTGGATCGCTTCTTTTATCTCAACTATACGGCCACGTTTGTCGTCTTTAATTCTAGTCGTTACTGGATCTATTAATTTGTATTCAATTGCTTTTTGGAGTGTAATTTCATCACCAGTTATGGGATTTAGGATTAGTCCTGTTCGGGGCGAATAATAGTTTTGTATGATAGCTTGACTGATAAATTAAATACAACAGGTTTTGTACGGATCAAGTTAGACTCCAAAGCTTGATCTAAAGGAACTAGTTGTCCAGTTTGTGTGTTCTTAATTTTACCTTCAACTGAATCTACTAAATTATTTTTCAACGCTTCATCGAGAGGTATGAAAGTATTACTTTTGACATCTTTAATTTCACTTATTTTGTCATCGATTATTTGGCGATCGACTGCATCAGCTATTGATAATGGTAATTTGGTCAATGGATCGTTAACTTTACACGTGTGTAAGTCGAACATTCCTTTATGTATAACAGCTTGTAATGAAATAGGTCTTGGAATAGCCAATACATAACCCTTAACAAATGCTTCAGGAAACCGCATGGTACTCTGTGTAGCGGTGTTGATAACTAAGCCCCTTTGAGGATCGACGATAGATTTGTCTACAGCTTCATAGTAAGGAACAAGTTGCATTGTTCTTGGATCTCGTATTGTAACTGATTTACCATCAACAACATTGGATGTGATAGCTTTTATCAAAGGCAATTCTTTGTCATCTAATTTGACAGTTACGTTAACAGGATCAAATTTCTCGGTTTCTACAATTTCTTGTAATGTAAGAGGTTGGTATTTTTCATTAGGTTTATCGTTAACATGTATAATCCATCTCAGTTTAACTGCTTCGAAGAATGGTACTTTCTTGCCTGTCTTAGGATCCACCATGTATCCCTTTTGTCTGTCTATCAACCTTCTATTTAAAGCTTCTTCAAGAGGAATGTATATGGGAGGTTTCTTGGTGGAATCTTTGACCAAAATTGTGTTGGGGTCAAATATACCTAGACCATATATTAATTCTTCAAAGGTAATATAAGCCCCTGTTTGTGGATTTGTGAAGGTACGAGTTCTGATATCGAAATATCCTAATTCAGCCATCATGTGAGGCGTTAAATGTTTTGATACGACCAAAACTGCAATCTTAGAATCATCAACTAACACAACTTTGTGATTGGATATGATCTGCACATTATTTAGAGGACTTATTTTGTTTTCATTTAGCCCATCTTGTACTGTATAAGGTAATTCTTCATTGTTGTAAATAACTCTACAAATTTTAGGTTCAATTTTATGTTGCGAAATGGCGTCTCCTATTGGAAGTATGACAGATTGTTGAGGCATGTCAATGATTACAGTAACTTCTTCTTTAGTAGTATCTTTGGTATGAGGCAAATCAACTTGAACTGGTTTAAGATTCTTTTGTGAATAAATCTCTTCCGCTTGTTTTTCTGCTTTTTTCTTGTCAGCATATTCCTTGACTGCTTTTACAGCAGCAGCACCAGCTAATACAGGTGCTACAACAGGCATGGCTAATCCACCTAAAACAGCTATTAAGCCCTTCTTTGTAGCTTCTTTGAAGTCTATAGATTTGCCAGTTTTTTCGTCTTTAACGTTTCCTGTTTTAGGATCTAAAAGTCCCTTTTCGACAGCTTGTTCAACTGTAATAGGTTTATTGGAAGTCACATCATATACTATTGCATTAGGGTCTATAATTTCTTTTTCTAAAGCTTCCTTAAATGTTAATTCCTTGGTTTTATCATCGGGATCGCGGAAGGTATTGGTCTCTTTATCGTATATTGTTTCGTAAGCTTCTGCAATGGTCAACTCTGTAGTTTTATGAGTTTCAATCAGTTCTTTTGTACCTTCAGGAGCTGCTAGAAGCTTGCCTTCTTGTAAAGCTTTTTCTATTGACAATTTTTCACCCGAACTAGGATCCAAATAAATTCCTGCATTCATATCAACCAAACCTTTATTTAAAGCATCTGAAAAACTCATTTTTATGTCCTTTACAATTGTTCTGTTCTGAGTTTCATTGACATCTTTAACAATACCTTGTTGCAGAGCTTCTTCCATAGTAATAACTGTACCAGTTTCTATATTTTGAATTTCATTTTTACTCAACATAGCATATCCTGATAGTAGCTCGATAGTTTTAGTAGTTACAGTATGAATAGTGTTAACAGTTTCGGTTAAAGTAGTTACAGGTGTGGAATGACTGAATGATACTACGTGAAGGGGTTCTTTTAAAACTAGTAACCCTTTTCTACAGCTTCGGAAATGGGATAAATATCTCCCGTTTTTGGGTCTTTAAAAGTGGAATTCTTTGAATCTATTAGGTTTGATTCTAAGGCATTTTCTATCTTTACAGAATCGGGACTAGTGGGAAAAGGTAATGTCATAATAAAATTGTCTTCAATTGCTTCAGCTAATGGAATGGATTCGTTAGTTAGAGGGTGGATAATTTCTTTCTTGTCAGTATCCACAAGACCTCTTTTCACAGCTACTGGGAATGTCATACCTGCGGGAGGTAACTCAACTGGTCCGGCAGGTATTTCAACATCAAATATTTTTTCTTTCACAGCTTCTTGTAAGTCTTTAGTACCGGAATTCGTCTCAACAGTGGATTTTTCGTCATCTACTACACCTATTTCTAAAGCTTTACCTAAAGTGACTTTATCGCCAGATTTTTCTACTAAAGTACTCAAAGGATCAACAATATCACAGACAATTGCTTCACTAATACTTAAATGAGCACCAGTTTCTGGATGGACAATTTTATGACTACTGGGATCTAATAGCCCCTGTTTCACAAGTTCAGGAATTGATAGGCTACGATTTAAAGGCACTAAGAGTTCATTCGTACCATCTGGATCTAATATACCACGGTCAATGGCTTCGTATATAGTAAGTAAATCACCTCGCTGAGGATCTACGATTTTACCTTGCTCTCCGTCTAATTTTTGGGCTTCTAAAGCCTCTTGTAAGGTAAGAGGCTCTCCGCTAGAAGATACAAACACACTTTTTTGATCCAAAATTTGAGCTGTTTCTGGATCAATAATGCCTGCACTAACAGCGTCTTTAGGTTTTACGATCTTCTTCCTTAGTTTTTGTAAAACAACTTTCTTAGCCTCACGTTCGGGGCTAAGTGACTGAGCCCTGCCAATTTTAACTTTATAACTAGGCTCTATCGTTATACGAGCACGAGTTTTATCTGCTTCGGAAGGTCCATCTTGTTCATATAAGCTAATAGTGGCAGTACTTAATGTCTTTATTTTGGAAGGCTCAATTTGAGCAATTCCCTGAGTAGGCAAATAATCTGAAACTACCTGCTGTGTCGCGTTAGTTTGTTCTTCTAATTTTTCTAGTGTAGGTTGGTCTATTATACCTTTTTCAAGGGCTACCTCAGCAGGGATTTGTTCGCCAGTCTTGGGATCGGTAACGAAAAGATGTTTAACTATTTTTATGGTTGCCTTGGTAGCAACTACTGGAGCACCTACGACAGCCAACAGACCTAATTGAGCAGCTTGTTTCAATGTTATCTTGTTACCAGAATTATCGATAACAGTGCCTTGTTTTAAGTCCACAATGTTTTGCTCAACTGCTTGGCTAACTGGAATAATTTTATTTGTATTTGGATCTTTGATTGTAATTTTCTCGAGAGGAATTTTATTTTCAGTTAAAGCAGTGGCTATATCTGACGATTGATTATTATCTAAAAACGTAACATCGTGTGATGATGGATCGTATATTACATTCGGTTCTATCCTTACTACTTTGATTGTTGTTACTGTTTTATCCGGTTGATCTGAGTCCATTACTTCTTCAAATGTAATAAGACCTTTCTCTATAGCTTCTTGCATATTTATTTTTCCCTCAGGAGAAATATAATGACCCGTTGAATCTATAATTTTCTTTTCCAGAGCTTTACTTACCGGTAGTTTATTTTTACTGACTGGATCGACAACAGTTAGTGAATTTGGATTAATAAGTTTAAGGTTAACACATTCCTCAAACTAACTTGACGATCTGTACCTTGAATGAGGAACAAACCGTGCGTAGGATCATATAGATTTTGATTTATTGCCTGAGAAAGTGACAATCCCTCAGAAGGCAAGGCGTAAATATGTTTTTCAAACGATTTCTTTTCGTTCGTAATAAAGTCAGTTGTAACACACTTATCATTAAAGGTTTTAGTTGGTGTACTTACTGTAGGAGTCTTGATTACTTGACCTGTAACTATCTTTTCCGAATTTTCAGAGTCGGGGGCTAGTTTTCCTTCGCTGATAGCTTGAACTATTGGAATGACCTCATGTGTCTGAGGATCTGTGTAAGTCTGTTGTTCGTTATTAATCAATCCCAACCTCAAAGCTTCGGTGTATGTAATGATTTCTTGTGTAACATCTTGACTAGTAACAGTAACGTATCGTTGAACTAGAGTACGTGTGACTCTGGTGGAAACGTTCAAATTTAAAAGACTATTAAATAAAGCAGCACCTTCTGGTGTTATAAAATGCTGGGCTATAGCATCATTTAAAAACACAACCTTACCAGTTGAAGGTTCCAGCAAATTGCCTGTTTTGGGTTCGATGTAGCCACGGAAAACAGCCTCTAAAAGGGTTAACTCTTGTTGATTTTCTACAATACCTATTGGCCGAATAAGGTTTTCATAAACCTCTGGTTTCACTTCTCCTGATTGGACTGCGTCCGAAAATGGAAGAAGTTTTCCGTTTTTCTTGTTGACCAGTAAACTGCCGTTAGATTTTTTGCTAATATAACCTTTAGTATTCGCAGCATTGAAGCTAATGTGGTCAGTTTTATCAGGCGGTTGGAAGCCATCTACATCAAAGATGGACTTTTTGACTACAGATATTATATAGCCTCGACTTACAGCTTCCTGAATTGGTAAGACTTCATTGGTAACGGAGTTTCTAAATCTGCTGTCGTGTAAGATAATTCCTTCTTTCAATGCTTCACTTAGAGTAACGTATTCATTTGTTCTGAGATCTAAAATAGTCTTAAGCGAATCTAAATCTAATACGCCACGATTTGCCGCCTCTAATAGAGTTAGCTTTGTATGATGCGTAGGGGAAAATATTAAACCGTCTGCGTCCATTAGATTGTCATCTATAATTTCTTTTAAAGATTTTGGCTTTACTATTAATTGTCGCCTTTTGGCTTCAAGGAAAGAAATTTTTTCGTGACCTAGAATATATTTTCCCAATTTAGGATTTATTAAATTATTATCTAAAGCTTGTAATATGGTAATTTTGTTGTCTGTTTTAGGATCGACGATTTCCCTAACGTCACTCTCTACTACGTTACATTTAACAGCGGCATCAATTTGATATTTATTACCCGAGTTTCTATCCACAACCCAACCAGTTCTTTCATCTACTAGTCCCTGTGTAATTGCGTCCGATAAAGTAATTGCACCGGTTTGTTAATTTACTCCGTGTGTTCTAGAAGATAACCTCTTTTATAAGCTTCTTTAATATCTATTCTTTCCCCACTTTCGAGAGTGTACGTGCCCGAATTGACGTCAACCCTACCGTCATCTATAGCTTGGTTTATTGTTGTAGAATGAGTTACCTTTATACGTTTTTCGGACGGGTCTAGAAAACCGTGCTCTGCTTCGTAAATTTCACGTTGAATGGCTTCTAAAAGCGTCAGATCTCTCCCGTTCTCCGCTATTCCGCACGGTCCCTGCAGTCTTTCGGCTATTGTAGAATCTACTTTGCCTAAATTTTGTGCTTCATTAATGGACACCTGCGTACCATCGGTGGATATCACTACTTTACCGGTTCTAACATCTAATATTCGCTCTGCTATGGCTTCTTTGATAGTCAATCGCTCTCCAGTGTACGGATTTAAAATACCTTCTATATCATTTATGTCATTTATATCAGTACTAATACCCTCATGCACCCTGTGTATTCGTTTCAACGATTTTATTTCGTTGAAGTGCATGGTGGTTACCCACGGTTCAGGTTCTTGGATAATGTGCGTAAACGTAGTATGTTTATCGGGGGGTCTACCATTTGTAATATTATCAGATTCATCTATTCGTCTTATACTTCTTTGATCGTCTGGGGATTTTGGAGAAGTTCCATTTCCATTTTCTGTTTTTGATGTTTGAATGTACCTATGGAATACAATATACCATACAGTAATTGATGTATGACTACAACAAAATATATAATAACACACACCTTATTCTTTTCGTCTTTAACCCTAGACGGATCTACTAAGTAATATAACATGTGAAACAAATTATGAAATAGTGAACCAGGCAAACTTAAACAATTTCTGCTTTGTATAAAGAAAGGAGATTTAACAAATCTCGTAAACTATTAGACCAATCAGCTCATCTCACACATATACAAGCTTTTTGCAAAAGTCATAACAAACAGACTTTCGAACAAAATGGACTTTTACCAATCATGCGAACAGGCAGGATTCAGGTCAGGCTTCGGCACAAACGACCATCTACAAGTTATTAAAAGCCTCATCGAAAAATGTATAGAGTACAATAAACCCCTCGTCCTAATATTTGTGGATTATGAGAAAGCATTCGACACAGTAAACCACCAGAAAATGCTAGAAGCTTTAAAAGAGTGCCGAATAGATCACCGCTACACCACTGTCATCAAAAATATCTATGATAATGCCACGGCATGCGTCAGACTCCATGAAGATACACACAAGTTCAACATTCATCGTGGAGTTCGCCAGGGCGACGCCATTTCACCAAAACTTTTTACAACATTATTGGAATACATGTGTAAGCGTGCAAACCTAGACGAAAAGGGCATAAACATAATGGAGAGCAGCTTAGTCACCTCAGGTTCGCGGACGATATAGTCCTGATAACAGACCGCATAGATCATGCCATCGAAATGTGCGAGAGACTCTACCATGCCTCTACACAAGTGGGTTTAAATATCAATAACTCAAAAACACAAGTGATGACAAACCTTGTTCTGAGTGAGAACATCAACATAGCTGGAACAAGTATAGAACAAACATCAGCATACAAATATCTGGGACACGAAATTCGCTTAAGTAGAGATAACCAGACCAATGAACTAATACGTAGAATAGGGTTGACATGTGCAGCTTATGGAAAGCTAAGAGATGTTTTCCAATCAGCTCTTCCATCTGCTTGAAGAGAAAAGTCTTCGATCAATGTGTTCTGCCGGTTCTAACCTACGGTGCGGAGACGCTAACACTTACTAAGACGTCCGCAAACAAAATTCGAACAACACAGAGGGCAATGGAACGGTCCATGTTGGGATTAACCCTGAGAGACCGAATACCCAACACAGAATTGCGCCGTAGATCGGGAGTAACCGACGCAATCAAAAGAATATCAACCTTAAAATGGAACTGGGCAGGGCACGTCGCGAGAACGAAGGACGGCAGATGGACAAAACGTATTCTTGAGTGGAGACCCAGACAAGATGCCTTTAGGAATAGAGGACGACCACCAACAAGATGGACGGATGACCTGAAACGGACACATTAAAATTGGATGCAGGCGCTCAGGACAGAAATTTGTGGGGTGAACTACGGGAGGCCTATGTTCAGCAGTGGACGAGTATGGGCTGAATGATGATGATGATAATGATGATAATGAAACCAAAGACACAATTCCATATTTAGGGAGGAAGATATCTATAAAGTAGATATTTGTAAACTATTGATGTGGAAAGTGGAGCTGATATTTTGTAACAGCTAGTATCAATGATAATGTACGCAAAATGGATATCGTCGGCTTACTGCCAAAACCAGCCAACTCCACGCTTTGTCAATTTGTCAAGTTTGAGAACTTCTTTGGACGTAAATGTTTTTAAAGATTTTACTAACAAAACCAGACAAGTCCAAACAGATTGTTAATGTGGGAAATAGAAGGAGCTAAACAACTAACTCCAATAATGACACTTTTGTTCAGTCAAAAACAGGCATGTGTAGTTATCCGTTAAAATAAAATAATATTTTTTTATTTGCAATTATCTAGTTCTGCTAAAACAAGACAAGTGCCAGTTAGCTTATTTTCTCCGTACTATTTCGGTATAAATGCACAAATTTCATGTGATGACTGTACTTAGTTCTCAACGTAGTACGATATTGTGCATAGATAATAATTTGCAGGTATATTATACATTATCCTTCAGTAGATATCTTGGGGCATGGGATGCGCAATGAGAAGTAAAAAGTAAAGTTCGTATAACCTTCTGCCTAAGGTCTGGTGTTAGGGTTTTCAGGTCCTGACAAGCGCCCCTAACATGACTTAACGACTATTTTCGTAGCCGGGACCGACGGCTTTACGTGCCCTCCGAAGCACGGTGGCAGACCAGTTAAATCAGAAATTTTAAATTTTTGTCGGTGCCGGGATTCGAATCCGGGCCCTCTAGCTTGTAACATGGCAGATAGAAGGCAAAAGATCTTAAGGGCGCAGACGGACATCGTGGTTGAAGAACATCAGACAGTGGGCATCAATGATTACCATACATCTATTTAAAGCAGATGTCAGCAAAGTTTTATGGACCAACGTGACTGCCAACATCCACAGAGGATAGGCACCAAAAGAAGAAGAAGATATCTGAACAACTGATAGAACAGAAATTTCTCCAGGGTGTACATGAAGGTAGATAGCATTGTACTGAAAAGGATCACCCATACATATTAAAAGAACTGGGCAGAACAGTGAATAAAAACGTTGCCAACAGTCACGAAAAAACACAGAAGGCTCTGTCAAAAATGACAAAAACAAAAAATAACTTAAATACTCTCTAAAACATATTTGAGAGATAATTACATAAGGCAACATAGAATAGTAAATAGATACCTATAAGAAGAGGATTAAGCTAAGGATGTCTACTGCCCTCTTTACTTTTCAATATGTGCTCAGGAGAGTTGTTTAAAGAGGCACTAGAAGATATCAATGAGAGCATATTAATTATCGGAACAGTAGTGAGTAAGCTCAGATATGAAGTAGATACGATACTCCTTGTGGACAGCAGAGAAGGGCTGCAAATTTTGGTTGATCGCATTACGCAGTAATACAACAGAGGTATGGAATGACTCTGAACACAAAAGAAACAAACATCATGAATATTAGTAAGACCAAGATTGAAGACGAAAAAAATTAATGTCAAAGGAAAAGCTTTAGAGAAAGTACCCAGATATAATGACCTGAGATGTGAGCTAAATGTGAGCCAGAAGCGCTTTTAATAAGATGAAAGCAGTATAATGCAATGGAAAACCGTAAATAGAAGTTAAGTTGAGTAAATTGAGATAATACATATTATTTGTCCTGTTATATGGAGTTGGCGCCTGGACAATTACGGATTCAACTGAAAGCTAGCTTTGAGACGTAGTGTTATCGAAAAAAGTGAAAAATATCACGGACAGAACACGTAATTAACACGGAAACCTTAAGAAAGATGAAAAAAAAAGAAATACTCAACATTTTTGCAATATTGCTTCCATGGCTATTCTTAGGTTCTTTATCTGCGACATCATTAACAAATGTCCACCTAAATTGACAAACCGAATTTTTTTAGAGGAGAAGGTGGTAATATGGCCCCTGCATATTTTATGGCCCCCTCCGTATTTTAATAACAAAGTGCTGAAATCTAGTGGAGAACGCTGGAACTAGTTCACTAGTATACCAACTGGCCGGTAAGAGCGCTGTGAGCCATTAAGTGCAGTCACTCAGTAATTGTGCAGTAGTTTGTGTTTTGGTCAATCTTCAAAACTTTGAAAGGTATGTAAATTTCTTGATTTTAACTTACCATAACTAATAATAACTTAGTTTAAGTATCGTGCATTTGAATTAGAGGTTAGTACCTACAGTTTAACACAGACTAGAATGTTCTAAGTCTTTTACATTTTATCTTGTAACCACGTGTTTTTAAACTTGGAGGATGTGTGTATTATGGCCCCCCCTAGGTAATGGTAATTATGGACCCCGGGGTCCATATTACAAGCAGTTTCAATATTTGTGGTTTTTTTTATTTTTCAGATGCCTAGAATCAGCTTAAACACCTAAACCAGCCAGAAAAAGGCAAATTTGGGACAAGGACAAAATGAAAGAAGCAGTAGCAGCTGTCACTGAAAAGAAAATGGGTGTCAAAAAGGCTTCTAAACATTTTGATGTGCCTAAGACCACTTTAAGAAGATATGTTTAAAGAGGCAAGTACATCTGAAGCCACTGAAGTTCACACAAAAAAGCTAGATAGGAAACCAGCTATACCTGAAGAACTGGAAAATGAACTAGTGGAGTACCTGAAGTATATGGAGGCAAAATTTTACGGGTTCACTCGCTTGGATGTTCGTCGAATGGCTTACAACTAGCAATTAGAAATGGGATTCAAACCAACTTTAGAAACGAAATTGCTGGCAGGGCTTGGTTGGACCATTTCCTTAGACGACACAAAGACAAGTTGTCAATCCGAAAGCCAACTGGAACATCATATGCTCGTGCAATAAGGTTTTACTCGTGAAAGAGTTTAATGCCTTTTATGACTTGCTGGAGTCCGAATATTCAAAACACAAATACCCAGGTGACCGTATTGGAATGTGGATAAAACGGGCCTGAGTGTAGTTCAGACAAAAATACCACAAGTTATTGCAGTAAAGGTAAACGCCAAATATGTTCATTAACTGCGGCAGAACGTGGATCTTTGGTCACAGTCATATGTTCAATGAGTGCAGGAGGATCTTATGTCCCTCCGATGTTGATTTTCCAAGGATAAACATGTCTGATCTCCTTATGAAAGAAGCTCCTCCTGGGTCAATTGGAAGAGCTCACCCGTCTGGGTGGGTTCAAATCAAATCTGTTTTAGAGACTGGTTAGCTCATTTTATTAAAAAAAACAAATCCAACAGAGACCTCGCCCATACTACTTATCCTTGACGGTCACTTTTCGCACACAAGAAACATTGATGTGATCGATTTGGCAAGGAAAAATTTACATCACGATATTGACCTTACCATCCCACACAACACATAAATTGCAACACTAGACCGCACTTTTATGGGAGCTTTAAAGACTCACTACAGTGAAAATATCCGGCAGTGGATGCTTCATGAAAGTAGACATGTTGGGCCTTACGATATTGCGTCCTTTTTGGGAAAGGCGTACTCCGATGTACCACAGGAGTAAACGCTGTAAATGGATTCTGGGTCGCAGGTATTTACCCCCTGGAAAGAAATATTTTTCAAGACCATGAATTCATTGCAGGGGAGGAGGAGGCACCAAACGAAAATCAGGCTGAGAAACACTGATAACCGACTGCATGACACTCCTGCAGTTGAAGTCAATCCTCTTCCACCAACAAACTTCGCTGTGTCTCCTAAAGACATTCACCCGTTCCAGAAAAAAAAGAAAAAAATCAAACCGTGGACGAAAACCCTGCATCGCAAACGTCATTACTAGTTCTCCTTATAAAGAGAGCTAGAAGATTTTCTGGCAAAAAAAGAAGCTGCTGCAAGTCGTGTGGTCGTGGCCGTGGCAATGGCCGTGGCAATGGGAAAGGTACTGGAAGAGGTGCTTCAACAAGTGTCACTCGAAGTTTGACGTTTGTTAACCCCATACCATCTTGTCCCGGACCTCAAACTTAGCGCTGTGACGTTTGATAACCCCATACCGTCTTGTTCTGGGCCTCAAGCTAGCCCTAAAGGACAAGCAGCCAGTCTGACTGTACCCTACGTGCCAACGCTGGAAAATCAAAGAAGAACAACCCTAAACACAAACGTCCAGCTGACAGCAGTGACGACGACGATGATGAGGATGATGATGCACATAACGATGCACATAACGAATGTGCAGTGGCAGAGAAGGATGAGTACGTCTGCGATTTCTGTCGTTGTTCGTCCATTATTACCATGTAGGACATTTTAATTTTGTAGACTAGACTATATCTACCTATACATACATATTATGCTGTATCTACTTATATACACTCTATCTACTTATGTATAATAAAAAGGCTTTTTGTTCAATGCAGTTATAATTTTCAGAATTTGCCAATATTTCCTTAAATTAATAAGGGGGTCCATATTACAAACACCATGGGGCCATATTAACTGCACATCCCGTTTTCTGATGAATGTGTCAACTTTTAAAAAATTATTTAAAAAAAATGTAAAATGAAGTCTTAAACCGCTTTAACTATTACAATGTGTTCGGTAACTAACACCATATCGTAACTAAGCTAACAATATCTGTTTTTTATTAATAATATCAATTTTACAATAAAAAATCAAAATGGGGGTCCATATTACCACCTTCTCCTCTACTAAATATACTATTATGGATCTGGTTAATCCATATTTTTTAATTTGTTTCACATGCCCGTCAAAAACACATTTCAAATTGATATTATTACATAAAACAAAAACTTACTGTTTACTGTAGTGAGTTGTTGTAGTATAGGTAGATGTGTGTTCACTGGCACTGCTCATGTGGAATTCAGTCCTAAACGTTCTAAACGGTTGTGGTTGCATTTGCTCCACCAGTCTCTGCAAATAAGAAAAATAAAAATTAATATTATAAATTACAAACTTACGTAGACTGTTAGACTTCTAGTCCAAGTAACTAAAATTTATGAACTGCAATAAAGAAGATTGTAATGCAGTCACAGTTTAATCCTAAAATAGTTCTTTAGCAATATACTGTGGTACAGTAATCTACTAACTTATTTTTCATGAACAACTTTGCCTTTATTCATTGCGTTTTTAATGCTACAAAAATTGGTATTTTTATATTATTGCAGGTATTTATTATAAGTTTTCTACCGATGTTAATCATATCTACTGTTACTTTTTATTTTATAGGTGATTTATTATGTTTCATTTCCATTTCATTGATTTGATGAGCAAATGTAAACTGAGCCAAAGCGAAAAATGTAAGGGAGGCTAAGTGTGATGAACTGGACAGATTTATGGGTGAAACAAAAGTGGCACAAGCTTGGAAAACATTAAAGCAGTTTAGGAAAAATGAGAAAAATGAAGACAACATTCCTCTCATAAAGTTAAATGAATGGGAAGAATATTATACGAAACTGCTGAAAGAGGATAGAGTAGAGTACAGATGGGACAAGATAAGGGAATTAATAGATAACAAAGACGAAAGACAGGAAATCCATATAATAACATTATATGAATTGACGGAAACCTTAAAAGAGGTTAAAAACGGAAAAGCCGCAGGGCCTGGAGACATTCCCATAGAGCTGGTTAAATATGGGCCGACTGCACTTTTAGAATTAATAGTAGACCTTTTTAATAAATGTATGTGTGGAGACCAGGAAATTCCTAAAGATTGGAACAAATCTTATATAAGCTCCATATATAAGAGAGGGAATAAAAGAGACTGTTCCAATTATAGAGGTATTAGTGTGACGAGCTCTGTGGGCCGGTTGTACGGCAGAATATTAAAGAAGAGGGTTGAAAGACAGATACAAGATATTGAAGAACAAAGCGGCTTTCTTACCGGAAGATCCTACCTTGATAATATATTTATCCTACGACAAATAATTGAAAAGCGTGTCGAAAGAAGTAGAGAGACTCATTTGGTATTTATAGACCTTGAGAAAGCATATGATAGTGTCCGTTAAAGAAACTGTTGAGGTTCTCGAAGGTCCGATTGGATCGACGTATATCCAGCGATATATAAATTGTACGAAAACGCAGTTAGTTGTGTAAAAATTGGAACCAGAACTTCAAATGAATTTAAAGTCACTAAAGGCCTAAAGCAAGGATGCTGTTTGTCACCGACACTCTTTAAAATATACGTCCAAGAAGCATTGAGGAATTGGAGAAATAAATGTAGATTTATGGGCATCGAAGTGGGACAAGAAACTCTGTATACATTGTTGTTTGCAGATGATCAGGTGGTGGTTGCAACCGATGAGGAAGATATAAATTATATGAATCGAAAATTATTTGAGGAATATGCCAAATGGGGGATTACTGTAAACATAAGCAAAACAGAATATTTAAAAATTGAAGGAAATACCACAGATCTGAGGCTTGAAAACGCAGTCATAAAAGGTTGCAACTAGTATAAATATCTAGGAAGCACCATATCAGCAGATGGCAGAGTTAAGATAGATGTACAAAACCGAATAACCCAAGGGAAAAAATGCATCCGAATACTAAATTTATTACTGTGGTCTAATAAAATAAAGATGCATACCAAACTTCGTATATACAGAGCAATTGTAGAACCGATTACCACATATGGTGCCGAATGTTGGACGATGACAAAGAATGAACGAGATAAAGAAGACGTTGTGGAAATGGATTATCTTAGAAGGTCATGTCGAGTATCGAGAATGGAAAGAATCAGGAATGAGGAAATACGAAACCGTACAGGAAAACTTGCCATGCTGATCGTAGGTCTTTAATTTAGTTACACGGGAAATTCAAATACATATTTTAATTATTATTGTTTATTTATTAAACGAACTATTGTAGAAAAGACAATTAATTCTCTACACGGTTCATTAAATTTCTTTCATCTCATTTGCAAATATTAATAACTCTAAAATTTACACAGTTAATATTTTTAAAATATGAACTTAAATTATTTTTTACTGTAATAGCCGCAATAAATGTTTAATTATTATTGCTTATTGCTATGCTTTGTTAACCGTTGATTTAATATAATTAATATGCCGAATACGTTTTGCATATGGAGCAATAAATTTTTAAAACCTTGTATTTGGCAATAACTCAGTATGTAGTTTTCTAACAAAAACCTTGACTTTTTGAACAGCTGCAGTCAGCCACAACCAAGGTTTTTGGTCATATAATATTTAAATAGTAGCTTTATATTATTTAAACGTAAGAGGAATAAAGATGACAAAATTATGTATAAAATGTGGTGATAACATAGTCAATATACATCTACTCGTACTACTATGTACACAAAGTTAACCGAACATCAACTATTTATTTATTTTTAACAATATTGTTACCCGACTTACCGGCTGCACAAACGCAATAATTGAAGGGACAAATAAGTCCACGATCCCGAAGATATAAGCATCGAAAAAGTAGAAGATACTTTAAAAATTATTAGAACAGGAGATTATTGATAAAAAAACATTAGTGAATGGACTGAGATATCAAATGCAGGAAAATTATTCCATGAGGCAGAAGATCGAGAAGCTTTCGGAATGGTGATCGCCAAAGTCGGACAACTTTGATATGGCAAGTAAATAAGAGGAAAAGAGGAGAGGGCTGTGGTAATGAACCAGACATGGTAAAGCGGCTAGGAATATGTTCATAGTCATTGAAAACTAAACAAGTCAACAAGTAGAAAAAAAGATAAAAAGGGAGACATGATACATAATATAGTTTATCTGCGGTGGTCTGCTTAATAGCCTACACAATGATAATGGAACAAAGACACGATAGTTGATACCAAATAAAGAAGAACAACAAATTGCTTTAGGCCTTTAATTTTTCTGGCGGATTTGGTGTCAAATTCTATGTTTTTATTAATTTTATCAAATGTTCATAAATTTTATGAAGAAAAATTAAAACTTTGACTTTAAATCATGTGTGTCTAGTGAATGATTCAAATCGTACTGTATTATTTAAAAACTTAATATTTTTAAGGAAAGTATAATGCGAATTAGGACTCATTAAGAAATACTTGGCAAACATTCAAATGATTCCAATTATAAATACCAAATTGTTGACGTTATTAACCAACAACAACAGTGTTAAAAGTGATTTGTGAAACTTAAAAAAACTTCCTGATTGCAGTAGTTAAGATAATATCTATTTTGGTTAAGTAATATTTATTTTTATCGGTTATATTATATGTATCTATGAATTACATATTCAAGAAATACTGGATATTAGTGACTGTCGATATAAACAAACAACACAGTTTATTAGGGCTGCAGTCAGAAGTTTGTTTTAAAATTTAGTAAGGATAGGAAACTTGTCTTGACATCTTTTAATGGTGGGGTAGGTAGAGTAGAGTATTTATTTAACTACATAACATATACAAATATTGTTTGTAGCAAGTCAAAAAAAACATACATAGTATTAAATGATAAAACATTAAATAATACAAACATGAAAACATATTAAACAGATAAATAATACAAACATGAAAACATATTAAAACAGAAAAATATTTATGGGCAAAGTTACGGTAAGCAGTTCAGTGGATGTTCTGCAATGAGTCATATATTCTTCTGAGCAGTAAAAACAATGTTTTAAAAGATATTTTTTTAATAACTTTATCGAAAACTATTACAGCTTAGCTCTTTTATACTTTTTGGTAAAATATTGTAATAGTTATAATTAAGACTATTTTTTTCTGAAAAGACTTAATCTATAGCGATTTGTTCGTAGGTAGTGACAGTTTCGCGTATTGTGAACATGGACATCAGACTGCTTTATTAAATGGGCACGTTTTCTGTGAATTTGAGTTAAAACTTGAAATATCAACAGAGTAGGTAGCGCGGCATGATTTTAAAATTTGATAAAGAAAGGTCGGCCAGTGTTCTAGATAACAAACCCCCTGCTAAAATCCTGACAGCTTTCTTTTGTATTCTAAAAATTTGAAGTGCATTTGTTGAATTGCCCATATAATTAAACCATAGTTTAGGTGAGAGTGGAATAAAGAAAATATTGTCATTTTTAATGTTTCAAAGTTGACAACCCTTGCTAGTTGGCGAATAACAAATAATGAACTGGATAGCTGTTTCTTAAGGTGTGAGATATGAAGCAGACCAGTTGAGTCGATTATCTATGGTTATTCCCAATAGTTTAACAGTCTCTTTGTTAACTAGATCATTGTGTAAATTACTTGCAGATATAACCATATTTGCGTTTTATCAGAATTAAGGTTTTAGTTTGTTTGCAGCAAACCATGAGCTAGATTTAGTAGTAACTTCCTCATGAGACATTTTTAAAATCATCATTATTTTTCCTGATATAACGTATGTCGTATCATCTGCGAATTGTATGGTTTTGTACGGAGATATGAATTTAGGCAGATCGTTGACATAAATTAATAAACAAAAGAGGTCCTTAAGACCGAACCTTGTGGGACTCCATGTTTTACGGATAGAAAATCAGAGAGATGACCTTTAGACACTACCGCCTGGTGTCTGCCACATAGATAAGAAGTTATAAGCTTAAGAGGGATACCTCTGATTCCATAGTTAATTTAATTGTGGAGCAAAATGTCGTGTGAAAACGCAGTCAAAAGCCTTTAATAAGTCACAAAGAGAAATTGCTATGCGATTGCCGCGTTCAAGCCCCTCAATCACCTCGCTCACAACATTAAATACCGCGTTCGTAGTAGAACGAGCACTTCTAAATCCATATTGTGAGTTGCTAAAGTAATTATTTGATTCAAAAATAGGAATAAAATTGTTGTTTGCATAACCTTTTCAATCACTTTCCCAAAAGTAGAAACAATGCTTATGGGTCTGTAATTGTCAATTTTTGAGGAACACCTTTTTTGTAGATTGGTAGTACTTTTGAGTATT